TTAGCCAAGCACTACTGTTTTACTCTGATAACCATTCCGTGTCCACTCTGGGAACAAAAATACTTTCTAAAAAAGATCAGTGACTAGAAACTAGTGTTCTAGCTAGCCATTGACATATGTGAGAGCACATGCAAAAGCTTATTTACGCAAACTTCCATTTTGAATAAATAGCTCAGATATTTGCAGGATCATCTCATGCATTATAGAATACTTCTTTCAAGTTACAACTATACTAAACACTCATTGCAATGCAACTGCATTATAGTGCATATCGCGCATTATAGTGCATTAATCATAGTGCATATTGTCTAATTTACAAATTACTTCTTCAGTGCTATCTTAATTATGAGCTAGTTCCAGATTTCTCTCTGTCAACAAAATAACAAAGCCCAAGATTGCATCTGTGATTGGTTTGTTTCATGATTTTCAGCTGTCTTTTATTAGGAGACAGTAAAGACCCCATTGGTGTAATGGAGATATTGCAAATCTCCACAAGTAAAAGCCTTCCTTAAAATCAGTAAATGAGCTGGAGAGATAGTACAGCAAATAAGATTCTGGTCTTGCATGTGACCAGCCCAGATTCTATTCCCAGCCTCCCATATAGTCCCCTGAAACCCATCAGAAGTGATTGCTGTGTGCAGAGTCAAGAGTTAGCCCTGAGCATCTCCAGGTATGGCCAAAATCAAAAACAAACCAAAAAGGACTCAGTAGAGCTGAAAAGATGTTGATCATCTTTCTAGCCTATTGGTGCTTATCAGTTAAGGAGGATTTTGAAAACAAAGTCTTTTAAAAAATAATCTAGGTGGAATTGAGGTGTTAATGCGCAGAGACCCAAGACTTCCTTTAGACGCAATTAAAACAGCACCCATATTTTTCTCATTTCTCAAGTACTTCCCTTATATTTCCTCAAGTTTTATAGTCATTCATTATCAATTTTTCATTATTTATATTATGCCACTTGAGTTTTGCAAAGCAAAAAGACCCTATTCATTATATCTTGTGTAGACACTTTTTATTTGACATGTGTGGAAGCTTAAACTCCAATAGGATCTGTATCTCATCAATATAGTGATACTGCAAGTCAAATTGAGTTATTTCCTATCTGAATTCTAAACTTTTCACACTTTTCTATTTGTGACCCATGTAAATCAGCCCTCCTCATATTTTATCTAATATATTCAACCGTTCCATATCACTCCATAAAATTAATACAAACTACAGCATCAAAATATAGCATTAGCATTGACTATGTCTTAAGATGAACTATGTGTGTGGCCCAAACACCCAAAAAAAGGAAAAAAAGAAAATGGGGTAAATGAACATATGTCTTAAGATGAACTATATTAATCTTCTACATATCCTATGAAGATTCTGTACCACCAATTCACTTTGTGACTTTGAAGAAAAATACTAAGTGTTTGAACATCCATTCTCTCCTATATAACATGAGTAGCTTGGGTTATAAAAGAGATAGCAAGTAGATTTAATCAAGATTTCTACTCTGAGACCAGATATAGTATAAGGGTTAAAACCCTGTCCTGCATGCAGACAATCCCAGTTTGATACTCAGCCTGTTTGCAAGAGGAGTAAGCCCTCAGCACTGCCGAGTCTGGCCCCCAAGCCAAACCAAAAGAGGGCTAAATCAACAATAACAAGAAAGAAAATCCTACAACTCTATCCAATTGATAATAAGGATCTGAGAGTTGTATTTAAAAGTGTTGGAACCAGGGGTGGAAAGATACACAGTGGTCCATGCCTTGCGTACAGTTGTTCCTGGCACCAAGGGCCTGATCTCTTTAGGCCCCTGTATTATTGAACAAGAACCAGAAGAGATCCACACTTCCTAAGCACAGCCTGGGAACAACCCAAAATAAATAAAAGAGTTGATGCTCAGTCATAACGCAGGCAATGTTCACTATGTGATGCTTGTCAGAGGCTCAAACTAGGAGATCTCTACATACTTGCCCTCTGTGCACATGAAAACCACATCCTTTTTCCACACTAATATTATTTGGCTCAAAGGCCTATTTTTTCTTAATAATCATTAAATGCAGCCATTAAACACTCCATTTAGAACATGAAGTATATTGTCTCTGATCTTCACTTCCCTCCTTTCTTTCCTAGCTTCCAAAAATTCCTGAGAATCTTGATTTGCTTTGCTTTATCCTAAGGAACTCTGGGAGTCAGATTTGAATCACCCTATTGTATCTTGTTTTCTGCATCAGTACCAACTGTTTTGTGAAGACTGTTCCAGAGGCTTCTGCTAAGTCCCCACATGCTGTTCTCCCACTTTCAGCCCAACAGTGCCAGCACAAGTATAAGTCATAGATTGTACCTTTCTGTCAGCTGTTATTTCTGAGTACCAACACCTTCTGAGCAAAAAATAGAAAAACTACGAAGGATGACTATTCTGTGGAGATGACACAGCAGCTTTTTATTGTTTTTTTAAGTTGGTGTTTATTGCTAGAACAACTGCTGGCCTCTGGGTTGGGTTTTTATCTCTACCTCCCATCCTTTGTTTATTTGGAAGGGTTGCCCACCGCCCTTTACTCAATCCCACCTCTCAAACCCTAGGCACCCACAGAGAACTCTATAGCTCTTGATTTTTGAGACAATCTTTTTTATACCTTGAGTCTTGACTCCACTTGTTCCTAACTGAGGAAACAGCCAACATTAACTCGTCTGAGCCTCAGCTTCTTCATTTAGCAAATAGCTAATGTTTGGAGACTCTTTCTTAATGGAAATACCAGTGAAAAACAGAAGCTGATGCATACAAAAAAACCCTTGGTCACTTTCTGCCCCTGCTTCAACTTTTTACCCCCCGCTCTAGGTCTTTTCCCATTGTCTAAAGGGCTTTTCATTCTTCAACATGGAAATAGAATTGGGTGTAAGTTGCTGAATTCACAGCTTTATATACCAGCACTTTACTTTCTGCAGTTTCCCTTATGAGCTACCCAAGTGTCACAGGGTCTGGAGGATTGAGATGAACCTTAGCTGTTGTTCCTAATGCCCTTTTGCCTTTCTGTTTGTAAGCTACCATGTAAACCAAAAAAGTGGTACATAAGCCAAGACAGGCCCTTCTAACAAGGTGAATTGAAGCCACGTTGCTTCTTCCTAGTTTTCTTGATGACTAATTAAATATCCCAACAACAAATGTTTTGTTGAAATCTTGCCTTTGAAATGTCATGCAAGGCCACTGGAAGGTGATTCTGGTGTAAACATGATGTTCTATTTCTTCAGAGAAAACCTCACTTCCTAAAGGAAAAAAATATGAGTAGAGTAGAACTTGTCTTTGACCTCAATTGTTCATTCAGTTTTCTACCATGGAAATGAGAAAAACAATGTTTTCTCATTAAGAAAATGACAAGATCCAATGTCTTTGCTACTCTTTGTTAAGCAGTGGAAACACAGTGCTCAATGGAACCCAGGCTTGACCTTGCTGAAACTCCCAGCCTAGAGCAGAGACTTGCGTGTTCCATGAGCAGTTTCAGTCAGCAATTCAAGACGTCTGCCAGGCTTCCATCCCTAACTATTCCTTTCCCTTAACTCTAATTGTCTGCATTTCAGTGATGTCAGCCCTTTTCCCCCCAGAACTTGGCAATTAATGACATGAGGGTCAAGAGGTGTGGAAGAAAGTCTAATCTCTAAATTTCAGGTCCCTTCATGGATTAAAGTGGAGTAATTTTATTCCAGATATTTTTAAATGTCTCATTCCTCATATACCAAATCCCTGTCCAGGGTAAATTCCGTGAACAGTAGATGCCCTGTGGAAGCATCAAAGCCTGGTCTTCATCCCTTTAGGGAGCATTTTACATAGCAGTGCCATTCTGAACCAGGCCTTACAAAGGGTGAGGAAGAACGTCTAGGCTAATCCTACTGCTTGTAAAAGTTATGCATTCTTGGATCTACTCACCATCAGCTACCTATCTCCAGGGAAGACCTCTATACTTCAGTTTTATCCATATAATGCTTAATTTCTCAAAATTAGTTGTCCTGATGAAAACTGTCATGTATTAAAACATATAACATCAATTCCTCCACAAAGTAAACTTGCCTCCCTCCAATCCACCCCTGCCCCTGATGCTGTGAGTAATGAAAGAAGAGCATACGGGGTGGAGGGCTGGATGTTAGGGGTGATAAGAAAATAAACCATGATATTCACTGTCCATCATTTTTAGGAAAACTTAATTTGTATTACACTTCTCCATAAACAGCTGGCAGGAAATTCTTTTCAAAAACCCTAAACTATTTCCCCTTTAAAAGGTAGTCCTAGAACGAATGCAAATAAGGATAGGTCTTTACATGTCTGCAGCTGGAACCAGAATAATCTCAGGCCAATTCATGATCTGTGTAAAACAGACTATTAAAAAAATGCCTACAACTATTTTACTTCTATGACTACTTGTCTCTGTTACCTTGAGACCCACTGTCAATCAGAAGGTTTACAACAAAATGTCATTGGAGCAGTTTCCACTATACTTTCATTACACGTTCTTCCTAAATTATCTTTCCAAAGGAAAAATTATGAGACTAGACTTAGCAGTGCATTTCGGTTCTGCCCAGTTTTTCAGTCTTTTGGGGTTGATGCAGTACTTTCCTGATTAATTATCATTAGAATAAAAATCTTTATGCATACATGGGTGAAGGTTTTGTATCATAAATAAAACAAGAAGCCACTTTTGAAAATGTGCTTCTTTGGGAAATAGAAAAGAAAATGAAATAAAATGCAGAAATTCTAACAGTATATCAGTAAACCCTTGGATAGTTGACTGCAGATAGCTAATAGCTGACTTCCAGATATTAAGAGTTACAGCCATCAATAACCTAATAGTGACACAGTGCTAAGGAAGCTTATGAAGATAAAGGGAATTTTTAATAGTTCAAGGAGAGAGAGAGAGAGCAAAGGAAGATTACCCCTAAACTATATCCCATTTTCCAAGCATGTAGCTGTTATGTTTGACTGTTAGTTCACTGCAACATTTCTTTTTTTCTCTTCTTAGGAGGGCAAGAAGACTTCATTCTTTCTTATGAACCTGTCACCAGGCAGGAAAGTAAGTTTCCCAGCATGCTCTGTCTTGTTTCTGATTTTCAGGCCATAACAAGTAACACTTTTGGGGGAGGAACAGTAAAGTAAATAAACTCGACTTTCTCCTTCGCTGCCCCTCGATTGGACCTTGCTGTTTCTTCGGTCTTGATAACCAAGCAGTTTATCGGAGCTTGGGTAGTAACAGCTTCCGAAAGAAAGGGGAGTTGACCAGATTCTCAGCGAGTTCTGCCCAAGTTCTCAGTGGGAAGGAACATACCCTGTTTCCCTAGGGTTCCATCTACAGACCGAGTGGAGAATATCTCCCGGGAGACTGAAGTTACTTCAGCCTGGAGAAGGAGCTTCTTAAACTACAGACCACCATCTGTTGGTGGATGATCTTAAGCTATAAAACCACCATCTTTTGGTGGGTGATCCCAGACCCTACGCTTTCGTCTTGAAGGTAGAATAGCAAGTCACTTGGCTATTGACAAGAATGTTGCAAAGGATGCCCCAAATTCCTCTAATCCCCGGATTAAGAGGATTAGGAAATCCTGGCAGAGTAAGAAAAATATTTAGATCCAAGGAAAGGTGCCATTGCTACCAACAACTCATTTTTAAAACATCATCTGAATAATAGGCAGGTAGTTGCCTTGGCATCGTTCTCTTCCACTCACTTGAGATTCACTAGCTGTTTGGATATCACCTAAGAATAAGCAAAAACCCTCCAAGTGTTTAATTTCATATCAGACACTTCATTTGCTTTTGGCTGTTACTAAGTTCTAGAAAATATACATAGGCAGAGAATACTACGGAATATTAAATATCATTTTCCCAAAGCAGGGATTATGTGGGCAATTGTTCCGAAAAAATTAATACCCTCGGTATCTAATACATGTTTGACCATTTCTAGTGAAAAATAAACCTTACAGTATTATTTTTCAGTGGTTTCCAAGTCATATTCTTCATCTACATGTTGCTTTCACTCTCTTAGTAACCTATACCAGGCCAGTTATTATCCTGGGCCCCATGAAGGATCGCATCAATGATGACCTGATATCTGAATTCCCTGACAAATTTGGTTCCTGTGTGCCTCGTAAGTAACACATTTGTATCTTTTTTTTAAAATTGTATCTTTTTGAAATGATAAAATATCATTCTTTTCATCTAATTCTCTCTTCCTTCAATGGTATCTACCTATTACCTGAACATTCTTTTTATTTGGGGGACTTTGGGGGATTTGTTTGGGGTTTGGGGAATGGTTTTTTTGGGGGGGTTGTGGTTTTTATTTCATTTTCTTTTGTTTTGGTTTGTTTTGGTTTGGTTTGGTTTTGCCTAATAGTGTTCCCTGATACTGCCAGGTTTCGATCTCCTCAAAGCAGGATAAATACACTTTTGTAACTCCCATAGACATTTAAAATAATAACAGATTAATAGTCATTAATGTGTTCCTGTAGATTGAGATGTCCTAACTATCTTTTCCAAAATAATGAGACCAGAAAGATAGCTGTATATTAAAATCATACAGCAGTAGGGTGTTTGCTTTGGACACGGCTAGCCTGGCTGACCCGGGTTCATTTCCTCCACCCCTCTCGAAGAGCCTGGCAAGCTACGGAGGGTATCTCTCGCCCGCATGGCAAAGCCTGGCAAGCTACCCGTGACGAATTAGATGTGCCAAACACAGTAACACTAAGTCTCACAATGGATACATTACTGGGCCCGCTCGAGCAAATTGATGAACAACAGGAAGACAGTGCTACAGGATGTTTTTAGAGTCATGGCGAATCTCAAAGCAAAATCGCCTCTACTGTGCCTTCTTACAGTCCCATGTGTGTTGAGCGGTTGAGAAAAATCAACTACATTAAAGGACATTACAAAGTTAAATCTTCTTGCTTATCTCTGTGGACAATCAATGGGTCTCCTATTCACCCTGACAGTGCCCTGTAGGATTTACCAATTCTACTTCCTGTACTTCCCAGTCCACTCTCTCTTTTCTGTCTGCCTGTCTGTCTGTCTGTCTGTCTGTCTCTCTCTCTCTCTCTCTCTCTCTCTTTCTCTCATACATAGAGCCCTTTGGTGTAGACAAACCCGCAGGAAACCTTAACTTAGTAGAAAAATCAAGCTTTTAAATCTGATCCAAAGATTTCTCTCGCGCTTTACAGTTTCAACCCTTCATGCTTTGAAGCATCTCATATTTCATCATGGTAAACATCACCGGTGATACATAAAAGCAGGAATTGCATGTGACCAATGCACAGACAGAGTGAACTAGGACACTTGCTGGAGCTCATATTCCCAGCAAGGGCTCAAGAGAAAATCCCGCTCTAAAACACATTCCAAGAAAGATTACAGGTAGACAACAGGAGTCAAATCCTAGTCCAGCTACGGTCATTTTTCTTTCTTCCACTTTTGAAAGAAAAAAAGACACTTAAAACACTGGTTCCACTTTACTCAGTCTTCCCTTTCTATTTTTAAATTATTAGTACCAGTATAATCAATGCATGTGTGTTATATAAAACTTGAAAACTGCTAAAAAGGAAGTTAAATAAGAAATATTTAAATGTACAAAATCCCACAGGGTACCAGGAGATAACATCATGATACAGAAATTTGTAGAACCTTTTAACCAGCTAAGAGCTCTCTCCCAAGTCATGAAGGAAACGGAAGCAAACTTTGTAGATTTCCATTTATTCTTTCTTAAATATGCATGTATTTTTCTCCAGTGACTGGGTATGCATACACTCCCTGCTTAATTTTTTTTTGTATCAGGGATAGAACATAGGTTGTTCAAATGCAAGGGAAGCACCCAATTCCCTGTATTATATTCCTAGTCCCGATTTTTTTTAATTCTAAATAAATATTTTGAATGGTTATCTCAACAATTCTTTATTTATGGGCACTTCAAGTTTAGATTTTTTTCTACTTTCCACTGCTACGACTTACCACTAACATGAAATTGTATTTATAATTGTGATTTCTAACTTATAAATTAACATATTGATCTTCAATTTAAAGTTGTGATGATTTTTTTTAAAGATAGATTTCCAATACCTGAGCCCAAAACTGGAAATATTTAGACATTTTTATTCAAAAGGATAGATTTCTTTCTCTTTTTACTAAGATCATTTACTAGATTTACTAAGATGTTTGGCCACTTCTAGTCATGTGGTTATATTTAGGCCCTCATTTACATATTTTCATATTTCTATTATATGCCCATTTAGTCCTCCTAATTATTATGAAACATCATTCTTTTGTTTCTTGCCCCACAATCTGTTACTATGATGCTACATTCCTAAAATAATGAATTTTTTTTAAATTTATAGAATATCAAGTTCTTGTCTGGCAGGTAATCATTTACTGACAGACCAGCTTTTTCCCATCATTACTTATTTACAGACAAGTAGTGACTGCAAAAGTAGGTCTAGAGTATTCTGAATGTGGCCCTTCTGAAATTTCAACCAAATACCCAGTTCTCTCTGAACTCCAGCTGAACATGTTTGTCATGCATCGTTTAACAATGCTTCAGTCACTGAGAGGAAATATTTACATCGATCGTCTGAATAGAATACATAATATAGCCAAGATGTGTTGTAGATTAGATCATCTACATTTGTGTAACTACACCCTATGATACTCTGATACGGACACAGTGACACAATCCTGATGCTTTTTTCAGATCACGTCACTAGAGTTAAATCAAGCATGACTATACTTGGTGCCCTCTCAGTTCTTCATTTAGAAATAGAGTCAAGGTCCGCTCTCCATAACTATACCACTGGACTTCCACCTTGCCAGGCTGTTTCACTTGGGGTGCCCCCGAGGGGGCAGGTGAGACCCCACCTGGCCCCAATGAACCCAGTCTGGGCAGCCAAAAACTTCCAGAACTCAGCCACTGCCAAACTCATGGCCGCTCTCCACACTCTCTGGTGAAGCCTCACCCACAAGCGCATCTACTCCTGGACCATGCGACATCTCGATACTTCAAGCCAAATACTCTACCTGTATTCCAGGATTACTGCACCACATTTGACATTTACAGATATATATTTAAAAAAAACACACAAGGCTTAACCTTTAACAACATGATCGTGATCTCTTACAGAAGGGTTTAATGGCCCCGGGGTGAAATACAACAATCCTCACACTCTTTCCTCTAAGGATACTTTTTTTTCTAGCATTCTCAGCAGATTTTCATAACAATACAAAATATATTATTTCAGTTCGCTTTGGGGCAGGGATTGGGGTCCAGGATGGAAACATCTGAAATATGGTGGTGGGGAGGTATAATGGTGGTGAGACTGGCGTTTGAATACTATGTGTAATCAAATATTGTCAACTACTTTATAAAATAAAAATATTTTTTAAAAAAAGAAATAGAGTCAAGGTCAACGTCAAGTTTTTCTCGGGTACTTCTCTTCTAAAGGATCACATTCCTGTACTGCCTGGGGTATGATGCTGGAAAGAAGCCCTTCCATGTATTTTATCCAGTTTTATACTTGTTTATGAAAAGCAGTTATGCTAAAGTACCTGTTACTGTGCTATGTTCATTCATATCACAAATCTTTATATATCTGTGTTCAGAGTATGGTTAGAATATAGATATCAAGAGAATTTACCGGAATTACTGTTCTTAATTCAATTTTTTGTTGTTTTATAAAGATACGACGAGGCCAAAGCGCGACTATGAGGTAGATGGCAGAGACTATCACTTTGTCATTTCCAGAGAACAAATGGAGAAAGATATCCAAGAGCACAAGTTTATAGAAGCGGGCCAGTACAACGACAACTTATATGGAACCAGTGTGCAGTCTGTGAGATTTGTCGCAGAAAGGGTATGTTCACCAGTCGTTATAGCTCCCATGAAAAGCCCTTTGATAAACTGCATTTGGAAGGTTATTACTCATTCTGACGGCAGTTGTAAATTTTTATTAAATATTCCTTTCAAGATGTCTTAGCAGAACATCCCTTTTGGGCAAGTTTATTCATCATTGTTCTAATCTCACCAATGTCTACTGACAGACTTGAGCAGAGGCTATAAATAGAGAGGCAATTAATGGTTTGAGGTTTATGGAGACTGATATTCCCTTGATTCACTTATCTCTGGTCCTAATACGTGTTGAATTTATTAAGGAAGTTTTGTTACTTCTAATGGTTTAAATCATGATACTGAATTGTATGTGGTAGCAGAAATTATGGGCTGGAGCGATAGCACAGCGGGTAGGGCATTTGCCTTGAACATAGCCGACCCAGCCGACCTGAGTTTGATTCCTCCACCTTCGATTCCTCCACTCCTCTCGGAGAGCCCAGCAAGCTACTGAGAGTATCTCGTCCGCATGGCAAAGCCTGGCAAGCTACTCGTGACGTATTTGATATGCCAAAAACAGTAACAACAAGTCCCGCAATGTTACTGGGCCTGCTCGAACAAATCGATGAACAATTGGAGGAGAGTGACAGTGACAGTGACCGCAGAAATTATATTTTATCTCCATGAAATTGTGATCCTTGCGGCAGAGTAGCTGGATAAAAGAATTGGTCCAGCCTGTACTAGGAAGTTTCAGCCTAAAAGAGATGAATATGCCATGATTCCTTCCTATGAATTTTCCTATGAATATTCCTCAAAGATGGAAAAGAGGAGATTCTTTAAGAGAAAATAGTGAAAAAAAGCACTTAACAGTAGTTTGAAGAATTGCCTGGAGAGAGATTCTAAGCTCCTGTGCACACATAAACAATTTCATAGTAGGGAAAAAAGGCTAAGAACAAATTATATTCTATCATGCAATTAGTATTTGTTGGGTTGCTTTGAACATAACCTATTTCCTCTCTTTGATGTACTTGTTTAAATTTTTTTCTTTTTACTTTATTTAAAAACTGTGCACGTAACACAGTTGTTTCAGGCTTTAAATGTTCCGACACCAATCCCTCCACCACTAAGACCTTTCCTCCACCATTGTTCCTATTTTTCCTACCACCCCCACAAGACTAGTTCTCCTTAACAGGGACAAGATAATTTATTTTATTATTTTGGGTTCTTTTAGATAAGACATATTCATTGTATTTCAAAGACAGGGACATACAAGCATTTGGAGTTAGAGGTGTTTCTGAAGACTCAAACCACTTGAGTAATAAATACTGACAATATTTTTTTTAAAAAAATTATTGAATCACTATGAGATAGTTACAAAGTTTTCATGATTGAGTTTCAGTCATACAATGATCGAACACTCATCTCTCCACCAGTGTACAATTTCCACCACCCTCCCACCACCATCCCCCACCCCAATCCCTGCCTCTATGGCAGATAATTTCCTTCTTAATATCTCTCTCTACTTTTGGGCAGATAATTTATTTTATATTGCTTGCTACAACTAAGTGGCTAATGAATTATTTTTAAAAATAATTTAATAAAAGAAGATTTGTGAAAGTTGTTACATCTCAAATGGTGTCATTAAGTTGTCTGAAGGTTTCCTAAGCTGTTCATTTTTAGTTGAGACTTCTGCGTTACTGTTTTTGTTTATTGAGCTTAGCTGTCTTCTGTACTACTTTTCCAACAAACTTGGTGTGCTCCTACTGAGCTGCCAGTATTGTGGAATTTGGAGGTGTCAAGCAGCTTCCTGTAGGTCGCTCCAGGAACTCCAGATCTATAAAACTGGGTAGATGAGTTTACATGGCAGCAGCTGTGCGTATAGCTGTTGGGGCCTCCAGAAGTAAGAGAGTTAGGAGGTAAGAGGGCTGCCACCCCCACTTTGAGAAGAGCTCAGTTTTGAGCCTGAAAACTGATATACCTAAATTTTTTTAGAAGAAATTTTCAATCCTATCTGAAATTAAACTAAGAAGTGGCATCCTATCTTTATATTCTATCAGTTTACTGCTTCTAGACTGTTTCCTAGATAATTGCATCTTTCATCAACTTTAAACATGTAACAATCTTTGTCAAATTGGTAATTAATCAAACAGTATTTAGATTTTGTTTGTTTTGGGCAGCCATCGGGGTAAGGGAGGCTTGGGGACATTCAGCTGTGCTCAGGCCTTACTCCTGTGTTCAGGGATCACTCCTGGCAGTGCTCAGAGGATAATACGTGGTCCAGGGGTCTAAATGAGATTGGTTCTCTGTAAAGCAAGTGCCTTAACCACTGTCCTATCTCTCCAGCCTGCTTTTAGATATTTCATATAGCTTCTGTCTTTCACGGATAGAAAATTTGGAACTTATTATAAGTGATAACGGACTTAAATCATGTTAGTTTGTTCCTCCATGAGAGTTCAAGTATTCACAGAATTCTGTTCATTTTCTTGTGAATATTACAGATGAGATTTTATCCCCTATTATTGATTTGGGATTAATCCTATCTGCATAACTTGCTTTTTCTTTTATTGTATAAATTTCCTCTAGCTCAAACCTAATGAGACAGTTTCTTTCCAGGAGGTAGAATATAATGTGTGGTAAATGTATCCACTTTTCTAGAAATACTTTGAGCTTGCTCTGAGCATTTATTACACTGCAAGTTCAGTTAAATGAGGTATGCTATTATGCAACAGTGGTTCTTGTTATTAAAAAATAAGATATTTATATACTTGTGCAAGCCTCTGACTCAGCATTTAGTATATATATATATATATATATATTGATTTTTTAGATAATATTTTTTGTATTCATCCTTTGCTAAACTGATTACACAGAAGGAAGGATGCAAATAAGCACTTAGCAAAGGCTGATGGAATTGCTCTAAATTTGAAAGATTACCATTCTTCAGGGCTGAAGCAATAGCACAGCAGGTAGGGCATTTGCCTTGCACGCGGCCAAACAGGCTGACCCAGGTTTAATTCCTTCACCCCTCTTGGAGAGCCCAGCAAGCTATCGAGAGTATCTCGCCCACACAGCAAAGCCTGGCAAGCTCTCTGTGACGTATTAGATATGCCAAACACAGTAACAAGTGCCACAATGGAGACATTACTGGGCCCGCTCGAGCAAATCGATAAGCAATGGGAGTGACAGTGACCATTCTTCAAACTCTATCATTGAACAGGGTAAAATAATAAAGTTATCTGTCTACTTCAGCCACTGATTCTGTCAGCATTCAAGTCAGGTCTGAGTTCTCTAGCACTGTGACTTTGGGCAAGTTAATTAATATTCCTAAGACTTTGTCTTCTCTTCTGTAAAATAGAGTGGCAGATATAAAGATTTGGGGATTTCTTCTTGACAATTATCTTCAAGAATGATTTATAAACTGCATGAGAATGATCCCAGTTAGATCCCATAGTCTATATTTCTTCTTTGTGCCAAGCATATTTTAAAAATTAAGTGAACTGTGGCTGGAGTGATAGTACAGTGGGAAGGGAATTTGCCTTGCATGCGACCAACCCAGGTTAGATTCCCAGCATCCCATATGGTCCCCCAAGCACTGCCAGGAGTAATGCCTGAGTGAAGAGCCAGGAGTAACCCCTGAGCATTACCAGGGTGACTCAAAAAGAAAAAAAAATAAGTGAACTGAGACAACACAGGCAAAATGCTTCTTCCAAGTGGTAAGCAAGCAGTGATAAATTTGTTATTGCAAGCATTCTGTTGTGGTCTGGAATAATCGATTTTTATTTATGTTTTGCTGGAGCGATAGCACAGCGGCAAGGCTTTTGCCTTGCACACAACCAACATGGCCAACTCGAGTTTGATTCCTCACCCCTCTCGGAGAGCCCGGCAAGCTACCGAGAGTATCTCGCCCGCACGGCAGAGCCTGGCAAGCTCCCCGTGACGTACTTGATATGCCAAACACAGTAGCAACAAGTCTCATGATGGAGACGTTACTGGGCCCGCTCGAGCAAATCGATGAACAATGGGAGGACCGTGACCGAATTTATGTGTTGCAGCGACCCTTTATTCAGCCTTTATACCTTAAGTGCCTCTAAAAAAACTGCTTATTTTGTCGTTATCTTTTAGATTTATTTATAGTCATTCTAGATTAACTTCATTTTTTTCTCTTTCTACCAGGGAAAACACTGTATACTTGATGTATCAGGAAATGCTATTAAGCGGTTACAAGTTGCACAGCTCTATCCAATTGCCATTTTCATTAAGCCCAGGTCCCTGGAACCACTGATGTAAGTAGAAAGAGAACCCTACTACTAGCCCCATTCCTTATATCACAGAAAGTTGTTAAAAATTATTTGTCATAAATGTTTATAAATGGAAAATGTTTTGTCTATTTTTACGTCTTTCTTTTAAAAAATAGATGATTTTAAGTTTTTTGAAGCATTCGAAGCATAATGTGAGCATTTCTTTTAAATGTCTTCACACCTGTTTCTTGATTATTATTTTAATTTTACAAGTTCAGGGATGTATGACTTTTGTCGTTTTGAAGATTGTTTTGGTTTGGAAGCAATCTTTGAATGATCTCTTACTTTTGAGAGTTGTACTATGGGTAAATCTTTTAAATGTGTCAATTTTTATAGAGAGAACAGACAATATTTTAGACTCTTTCCTTTGACTTTTCACTTTGTTCTATCATAGAATACTTATGCTCCTTAATTAAAACCTTATACAGCCAATCCCCATAGTCACAAAAGGGGATGGTGTGGGAAGAAGGAATTTAATTCAGATGTAGAACACTATTATCTCATTCCTACTCTGGACAAACTTGCAGGCTATCGCATATAGCCTGCCCACAGGGCAGAGTCTGGCAAACTCCCCATGGCGCACCAAATATGCCAAATACCAGTAACAATGATGGGTCTCATTCTCCTAAAGAGCCTTGAATATAATCTCAGGGCTAGGATGAAAGAGACGTTACTGGGGCCTGCTTGAGGCAATCAACAAATAACAGGATGATGAATGAATGAATGAATGTAGAACACTTGGGTTGCATGAGTGACTTGATACAGTCCCCAGCACTGGGAACGCAGGGCAAGGCACCTTGTGTGTGTGGCACTAATCTATTAGGAAGCTTCTTAGTGGCATAGTAATAAAACATCTATAACTCTTACCATTTTTTCCATACTTGTGCACATTTATAAACAGGGAAGGATGTAGAATTCAGATCTTCATCTTTGTTTTTAATTTCTCACAGAACCTGTCAAGTATCTTTTTTCAAAAATAAGTAAATTGTGTCTATAAAATGACACATTTTCCACAGAAATTTATAGAGATTGTGGATATTAATTAACTAGTCCCATTTAAAAAGGAAGACTAACATAGTCAAATCTGAAAATGAGTCAACTTTAATTTGATTCTAATTCTGATCTAAAAATTAGTCAACCTTGGTTTGGTTCTCTGTTTTGCCACCTGTCAGCCAAACATTGCTTTGAACTCTGTAGGATTAAATTCCTCGTCTCTAAACTAAGAAAATTTATAATATGTACCTTAAGAGTAAGTGTATTAAAACTCATTAAGGGTTAACCTCAAGGCTAGTAATAGCTTAATGTAAAACTTTTTGTACATATGCTAAACACTTAATAAGTTGTAGATCTTATTACTATTAAAGATTCAAAGTTACTTTATTATAAAAGGAATACAACTATTTTATCATTATAACACCCATAATTAGTATCTTTTCCAAGAGTTAATGCTAGCATGTCTATTATAAGAACTTTGCTCAAATATGCTTCCAATTAGAGAGGTCCCAGCATGTTTGAGAGGATTCACATTTGAACCCTCCAGTTCACAAAGAACTGGAAAGTAGTGTTTATGGAAAAAAATCACAGAAATTAATTTACTTAATCTCAGAGTGAAAATAATTTCTTGTGGAAGATATTGACTGTTCTGCATTTTCTTTGGGGATAAAGAAGCAACACAAATGCAAGGTACTGGAATTACAGTCTAAGAAAACGAAGTTGAAAAGATAATCTTAGAGGGAATTGCCAAAAATGCTTCTTAAAAGCTGAAGATATTCCCATATTTAAAATATGGACAATGATTCTTACCAGGATGAAAATATTAAATCAGGAAGTCACTGGCAGTACCTTTCACCCTGTAAATTCAGGCATTGAATTATAGGAAAAAGAGCTTTGCCCATAATTGGTGCAAAGAAGTGATGCATACTGATGATAAAATAATGGTTCGTGATAGCATTTTTCCTGAAGGCATTATTGAATTTCTCCTCATGTAGAATACTCTGTTGAACACTGCACAAAGAGAATTAAGCACCAGCCACAAATTTATTACGTAAGAGTAATTTGTGATCTGTACCACAAATATTGTTTTAAGACTAACATTAATAAAAAGAGAAAAATGATCCTCACTTCCCAGAAACAGCATCTTAAAATGTGTTTAAGAAACAGAAAAGCTAAGTTTTCATGTACTAAAGATGCAATGAGAGGAATGGCCAGAGTATTGAGATTCCTGAGGGAGAATAGCATTTGCACATTTCCTTCTCTATGTTCTGGGCCAGACTTTCCCCTCTGGTGTGTGTCAACAAAGGTTTACTTCCTGACACAACTATGAGGTGACTTCTGCAGCATGGCCTTAGGGGTTCTGTCACAGACATTTATCTCCAAGATGCTGAGACATATAAAGGCTTGATTGATATTGATTCCACAATAAGGGAGGTGGATCTGATGTGATTTGCTGTGGCCATATTCGTAGGTCTTGAGAATGTGATCTTGTGACTCTATGCTGTGGATGGGCTTTCCATTTCACTCTTTTACAAGGATTTTATTTCAGAAGACATGTTGGCATGCCTTTCAGGTTCCCCAGGGAGAAGTGAATGCTAGGTCAGTTGGAACAAAAGCGTGGTAGCTGTCACATTTAGGCATTGCTACCTCATTATTTCTACACACATTATTTCTCAAGTGCATCATCCACATCATACCACGTATTACCACATATATTGCTGACTCTCCCAAGGGGCATAAAGTCAAAGATGTATTTGAAAGAGATACCATGTGGTACCAACCCCCTCCACACACAAAGCAGTGAAAATCTTTCCTGTGTCTCTTCAGACTCTCCAATCTGTTTTTGCCATCTTTCAAGACATCCTATGTGCACATCTGTCTTCAATGTATCATTCCTTTGTTTATTGGCCTAGCTGTCCATTTTTTCAGTTAGTGTTCCAATGAATAAATATTGATTCAGGTTCCATATCACTTGTCAATGAACAAATATGGTCTCTGCCCTTAAAGAACAAGATAATTTCATAAATTGAAAGATAAAACCTCAACTCAGCCATTGTAAAACTAACAGATAACTTCTTCTGCAATGGGAACTCAGAAAAGACAGAGCAGTACAAGTAGGTGAAGTCAAATTAGAAACAAATGTGCATTATTTCTTAATATTGTAGCAGTTACACTTTTTGTAAGAATAATTCAATGTAGGCCCAGAATCTTCTGCATCCAAAAGAGGCAGCCACTAACAGGTTCTAGTGCTTGGATTATTTGGAAGGAAAATTAGAGATACCACTTTTCAGTACAAGATGGATTTCTTCTTTTTTAAAAATTTTTGTTTTTTTGGGGGGGCAACATCTGTCAGTCCTCAGGGGTTATTCCAGGCTTTGCAACCAGGAATTATTCCTTGCAGTGCTCGGGGAACCATATGGGATACCAGGGGTCAAACCCAAGTAGTCTGCATGCAAAGAAAATGTACTATCCACTGTACCGTCACTCCAGTCTCCAAGATGAATTTCTTTCCACAAGAATTCAGGAAAGAAATTTCCTGAATCATATCAGGGATTATGATATATACCTATTGCACTCATTAGTGCATGATATATACCTATTGCACTCATTAATTCTTTCCAGAATTAAGTATCATGCTAAGTGAAATGAGTCAGAAAGAGAAGGACAGACATAGAAAGATTGCATTCATCTGGGGAACATAAAGAAACAAAATAGGAGACTAACACCCAAGAATAGCCAAGCAAAGTACCAGGAAGTTTACTCCATGACTTGGAGGCCAGCCACACATGTTAGGGGAAAAGGGAGCTCAGATAGGGAAGGGAGCACCAAATAAAGGGTGTTGTGGGATCCTCCCGGGATGGGAGATGCATGCTGAAAGTAGACTATAGGCCGAATATGATTGCTACTCAATGCCTCTTTTGCAAACCACAGCACCCAAAAGGAGAGAGAGAACAAAAGGGAATGCCCTGCCACAGAGGCAGGGTGGGATGAGGGGGGTGGGGGTGGGAGGGATACTGAGATCCGTGGTGGCAGAAAATGGGCAGTGGTGGAGGGATGGGTACTCGATCTTTGTATAACTGAAACCCAAACATAAAACTTTGTAAGTCTACAATTGTGCCTCATGGTGTTTCACTAATAATAATTTTTAAAAAATGTAAATCTATGATTATAATTTTAAAAAAAGAAATCTTTCCAGAATTGTGTTACTGTCCAACTCTTGTTTTGGGGTGTTTTTTTATTTTAGATATCTCTTATGAAAGATGCTGTCTTCATATGACAGGAAGTCTCTTTAACTAAAATTGGCTTTTAAAAATCCAAAGTTTTGAGATTTATCCGTTAGGAGTTTATGTAAATCCCTTCACTCTAACAGGCCTGTCACTTGCTTTTTTTAAACTGAAGGTTGAAAGGATAGTACAGTGGGTCGGGCACTTGCCTTGCATGATTACCAGCATCACATAGTGATCCCTGAGTACAGAACCTGAAGTAAGCCCTGAGCACTGCTGGATGTAGTGAAAAAAGAAAGAAAGAAAGAAAAAACAAAATAAAATAAAAAGGATTAACCATATCTCTGGTTTCCTACAATGTGTGAAAAGCAGTCCATTCTCTTGTCTGTGTGATACATTGGACTAATCAACATGTCTTTACTGAACTTAGCTGAATTTTAATCAGCTTAGTGTAGCCACAGTGGTAAACTTATAAGGATCCGAGGCAACGATTGTCAGTCTTCAGTTAATAAAGTGTCTTGGATTAATAAAAATAGATGATTAAATCATTTTATTTTAATACATTCAGTTTCTTAAGCAAACTTTTTTGCCACCTGAAAGACAGGAACAAAGATACCACTATTGAGGAATCAGTTGACTTTTTTTTCTTTTCTTCCAACCTTGATTTATCTTTGAGGCCAAGCAGAATTTAAACTTTCTCACCATCATCAAATAGTGCTGTGGATATTTAATGATACACCCTGGAGCTAGATTCACAGAAAGAGAGTGTCCAGTCATAACTCATTTCAATCCTTCCTCCTATCAAATCACCAAAGTAGGAGGCAAAGTTTTCTTTCCACATTCCTTCAACACTTAGAATCACTTACTTATTGTTATTTGAATATTTTAGTCCAAGCAATTTTTCTTTTTCATTCTCTCTCTATGCCTATTTTAATTCCAGCATCTCCCAGCAACAACTTGAGATGGCATTTAATTATAAAGACAAGTGAAGACCGGGGATTTTTGTTGATTGAGACTGTTCTCACCTTTCATAAAGTTGGTGATCAATGTTTTTCAGTCTGAAAGAAAATTAAATTACTTAATCACAATACCAAAGGGACTTATCTCATTTTCTACCACTCTTTGGAAGTGTATTTTATGTTTCTACACATTATGTTTCTACACATGTTTCTACACATTAAAGATGAATGGCAGCCCTCTGGAGGGAGAGTGGGGAAGCCAAATCTGGGTGATTAGGACCGGGGAAACTTCACATCCAGCTGTCAACAGTGTAACGTGTCTTCCCCACTGATGACTGCTGGGACACTTTTGTAGTTCCACATCCCCTGCTTAAGAGAGAAAGGGTTCCTGCCTAAAGTCCAAGGTAGGGTGATCAAGAAGGTTAGAATTTGGAAATTATATTCCTAAGAAAACAGATGAAACAAGTAGATCAAGGAGACACCAGAGCACCTGGTTTAAATATCCTCAGTGGGCTGGAGCGATAGTACAGCGGGTAGGGTGTTTGCCTTGCATGCGGCTGACCCATGTTCGATTCCCAGACTCTCATATGATCCTCCAAACACTGACAGTAGTAATTCCTGAGTGCAAAAAATTAACTCCTGTGCATCGCTGGGTGTGACCCAAAAAGCAAAATAATATATAAATAAATAAAATAAAAAATAAAAAAAAGTCCTCAGCCCTGCCATGGAAGAAGTGTATTTATTTTTACCAGGTGGAACTCCATAATGGGGAACCACAGCTGTAGATCATAAGGCAAAAGATTCTGTTTCATTTCACTATGAAACCAAGAGAGTGAATTTCATGGGAGGGTGTCCTAATTTGCTGTGATTATTCTAACAAAAAAAGAGTCCAGAAAAAAAGCAGAAAACTTGTACTTTCTACAGGTTTCATTTTCAGACATTTAATTTTTTAGAATTTGGTGTATTTACTTTCTACTCTAATATCAAATCCTTATTTCCTAGGGAAATGAATAAGCGTCTAACAGAGGAGCAAGCCAAGAAAACTTATGATCGTGCAATTAAGCTAGAACAAGAATTTGGAGAATATTTTACAGGTAAGTTCATGTAAACTTAAACCGTGATAAAGGAGATAAATTGACTGAGATGTGACATGGAGAGGGGCCCAGGCCTGGTATACCTAGGTCCTGAAACATCCTTACTGAGAATTCCTGACTTCCCTCTGTTTCCTCCACTTGACCCAGAACTCTGAACTCTGGCTTCCCTGAATCTGACCACAAGCAACTTCCATATTCCCACAGACCCCCCAACCGAAACCGTGAGGGCAGATGCCTCTAGGATATCTCTAGCACTAAGAAGATCTTAAGCATGGATGCCTCCACTAAACTATCTCCCTAACATTATCCAAAAACTTGAGAAAAATTTCTTTTTTTGCTTTTTGGGCCCCACCCAGCGATGCTCAGTGGTTGCTTTTGGCTTTGCACTCAGGAATTACTCCTGGCAGTGCTTGGGGGACCATATGGGATGCCCGGGATTGAACCCGGGTTGGCCGCGTGCAAGGCAAACATCCTACCCGCTGTACTATCTATCTGGCCCCCGAAAAAGAAATTTTCAGGACTTCAGAATGTGCAATGCCCAAAGTTGTGCACTCACTCCGTGTGTCTGTCCATATTAAGAGCCCTTCACTGGAATGCATTTTTTTTATTTTAATGAATTCCCTGGCGAATCTAAATACAAAACTATTTTTTCTGTTTTAACATTTCCTTGAGCAAATGAAGTTCAGAGAACTAAGGAAGGCTTTTTCTTTCTGGATATTCTAAGTTCTCTCTCTTTTTCCTTCCCTTTCTCTTTTTCTTTTTTCCTTCCTTTTATTCCTGCAGGGACTCAAGGGGTAAATAGCCAACAATAATCAGTTCTGGGGCTCCAACATACAATACATAGACTGTAATCCCTTATTTCCCTGGCCTCCTCTATCTTATGCAGCTTTCATGAAGCCACCATACAATTTTAAAGAGTAGTTAAATTTTGTGGAATTTTCCTTATAATGGAGTCACATGGTTTAGAAATAAGAACTTTTCTAATGAATATTATTTTTGATATTGGGCATTTTTAATCTGAGGATATTAGTAGTTTGCAAATAGGTGGATTGGGTAAACAAGTAAATACCTATCAATACCCAATATAATTGGTGATTTATAAAAAAATACCTCAAGTATGACCATAAAATCAAATATATATACACATATATATACATTTTGACCAGTGGTTTATATTTAGAATTAAAGTTTAATAATCCATATGTTCTGAAGGGTGAATTTGAAGATGTATGGGAAAGTTTTCCTCCCACTAAGCGATGATCAAAAACCAGATGAGCATCAAATCACTTGACTAGAAAATTGTATCAGATTCCACAACTTGAGGGTTTAATCCTACAGCCCTGCTCCCCACTTCATATGAGGTTTACAAGCCTGAGTTGTTACCTGTGGCTCTGGCTACTAATTATAAATCAGAGGTACCCATGACCTCCTCCTTGGTTTTATTAATTTTCTAGAGTGGCTCAGAATACTCAGGAATCCTTTTAATCACCAGAGTACTGGTTTATTACAAAGGCTCTCTAGGGTTATGAATCAATAGCTAGATAAAAAAGTAATGAAAGCAAGTAGAAGGGAAGGGCTCTTGGAACATATCATTTTCCCCCAAAACTTCATTTGTTCATCAACCAGGACACTCTTCTTAGCTCCTCCTGTTGAGTTTCATTACAGTCATAATCGATTATTCTTAGACTACTGAAAATTGAGTTAACATTCTGTCCCTCACCTTCAACATTCAACTCCCCATTCTACCCCAGAAGAAAGGATAAGACTGAAAGTTCTGCATCTTTCATCAGAGGGTTGGTTCTGTTTGCAGCGAGTCTTCATCATGGGTCCAAAGTACTCATCAACAGAACAAGGAACTTCCGTGTTGACCACATCACCTAAGAAGTTCTAAGGGTTTTAGAAACTCTGGACCAGAGAAGGAGCAAATATATACATATAAATACATATATTATAAAACAACTGATAATACTTGGAGAATGAATGATATCATTTCCTTTGTCTAAATTTCTTCCCCTGACAAAAAGGCTATGATTTTCTGGCATGCAAAGCAATTATTATCTAAAATTTAATTGGTGTCTAACTCAGAGAAGGCATCCATAAAATTTATGAAATGGGTATCTCATTGTTTAGAATTTGGATAATAATTATAAATAATTATTTTTCTGTAGAAAGAGGAACAAAACTAAGATGCCTTCATTACGGATTCAACACATGCTTTGAAAGCATTTTTTCCCCAGTCATCTGTGATTTTGCTTACATGAATTTTCTGTTTCTTTTATTACTAATTAAAAGGAAAGGGGAAAAAATCACTGTTCTGAGCTTCTGCTGTGTGATTGTTGGCTATTCTTCATAACCCAGGGAATGATGGGACTGATTCGTAACTCAGAATTTATTTGTTTTTATTGTAGCTATTGTCCAAGGAGACAGCTTAGAAGATATATATAACCAGTGCAAACTTGTTATTGAAGAGCAATCTGGGCCTTTCATCTGGATTCCCTCAAAGGAAAAGTTATAAATTAGTTACTGCACCTCTGACAACGACAGAAGAGCATTTAGAAGAACAAAATATATATAATATACTACTTGGAGGCTTTTATGTTTTTGTTGCATTTATGTTTTTGCAGTCAATGTGAATTCTTATGAATGTACAACACAAACTGTGTGAAGCCATGAAGGAAACAGAGGGGCCAAAGGGTGGGACAGAAAAGACATTGCAGATTGCAAGAAAGCTTTGGTTTGCTCAAAGTTTCAAGTGTAAGAATGAACCTTTCATGGGCTTTTGCCCACGAGATGGGCAGCCTCCTCACCCCAGCAGTAGTCCAGAGCTGATGTAGCTGCTGAGCTCTCTGTGTTGTTTGCTTTAAAGAAAAGTTGCCAGCACTTGAACTTCACCAACCTTACCATTATCACATCTGTAATTGGTACCCTTCGAATTCTATAACTATGCACATCCTTTGATTTCTTAACAAGCAAAAGAAGGAAAGAAGGAGAAAGGGAAAGGAATCCCTTTGGAGATGGCAAAATCAGGGAAGGATAAATGTGTAGTTTCCATGGCTGGCATCTGCAAAACAAGCATTTCATAGAATTTGCCAGTTTATGGAGGACCGACCTCAGAGGAGTTTAAACTCAATCTGGGGTTAGCACTTTGATTGTTTATTGTCTATTTTGCCATTTATAAACTGAAAGAAGGCATTAAAGACAAGACTAATTTATACAATAAAATATATTAAATGTATAGAAATGACTTTCTATAGGTGAAACAAAGTTTTCTGAAATATTTTGTAATGATAATTAATTGAAAGACTAAATGTATGCACTGTCAGCAGATGATCAAATTCCAGAACTGGAAGTTGCACTCCCCCTTTTGTGGCCAACGATCCACTAAGAACATCTGAGTTCCTTCTAAAAAGTCTGACAGACTTCTCCCTCTCTCACCTTCCATCTTCTCCCTTCCATATTCGTGATACACTCTCATGGAGCACATCTCTTAATGAGTTTTCCTCATGGATATTTTTGGAAACCATTTGGTTAGTGCATTTTTAAGCTGATGGCTTTCAAGGACAAACTCATGCAAATTATCTAATGGGAAGTTTTGCTTTTCTCTTATTAATCTGAATCTGAACCTGCCATGCAAATAGTAGAATAACTTGGTTACTTACATTAAAATCTTAAAAAGATAATTTAGTATTTTGGCGAACTAGAAGTAATTAGAATTTTTTGGCCTGTCTCACAAATAAATAAGACTTTTGTAACAGCCAGAGATGGTTAAAAAAAAAACCATGGAGATATCTGCCTAAGATGCACTGTTTTTTTGAGGAAGAGAGAGAGAAAGAAATATCTGTAGGAAGGTGAGGGGTGCAAGCTTTTGTTTCTCTGTACAGGACAAAGTGATAGAACCACAAGAAAATGCAATGACTTTGAGCTCAACCAATTGAACTACCTTTCTTGGGGGCTGCACCTGGAACAAGTTTATTTTTTAGAACTATAATATGATTTTTTTTTTAAAAAGAAACCTCCCGAAGCCTATATAAATTAAGAGTTGATGATGTCAGTATTACTTGTGCCCATGGTGTTTAGAGAGAGACTTTTAATAACCACTCAACTCTGGGTTCTACATATGCCCAGACTAAGCCCCGTCGCCTTATTTCTGGGGTACATGCAGACCTGGCAGGGATTCTGCCACACTGTGCAGCAAACCAGCATAGAGGCTGGATGAGAGAACAGGAGAGTCATCAGCAATGATGGGGCTTCTTCATAGTAAAAACAACGGAGCTCAGAATGAGGGTCTCTTTCTGAAATTGAGCATTGATTTTACACTAAATACCATTGTCTGCCTGGCTGCAGTCACCAACACAAACACAAGAGTACAAAATTACCCATCTACCAATAGTCATGATGCTGCCTTTGCCACTGGAAGGGCTAGCAAAGCATTTTGCCACTGATGCAAGTTAAATTTCCAGAAACTTCCTTAGAGTACTCAAAACGTCAAAGCTGTGTCCTTAACAGTAATCCACCAGTTTCAGGTCAAGTTCTACTTCCATCATATTGCTCCCAAAGTTTTCTGCCACCAGAATGCCATTCCTGATCCCAGCTCTCTTTCTAGGCCACCATGATAACTTCTTTGGTTTCTTAACTGAGCATGCAACCGTTTATTTAAAGGACTGTCATTAATGAGTAGATGTTTTTTTGCGGGTCATGTGATGTGCTTTCCATTTAATATTAAGTATTGCTGTGGCTGAGTTGAGTACAATCAAATTGAACCACCATCCCTTGGTTTTGTAGTAATAGAATGATTTATTTTCCTAGTGTAGATGCTTCCAAATTAGAATTGGCATTTGCACTGATTTTTTATGTAGATTTCTATACATATATATACACATATATTTGCTTGAAGAATCACCAAGCTCATTGGTGAGAAGGTCTTTTACTATAGAATTTACACCTCCATTTGTTGTATTGTCTTGCATTTCCCAATGTTGAGGTCTCTAGGGCTCCAATGAATTGTTGTAGCTCACAGCAAATCTGACCACTTGGATGGAAATGGCATGAACGTTACCCAGATTACATCTGGTGCAAATGCACTTGGAGCCTGGGACCAGACTGGTGCTAACACCGCAAACTTTGTCCAGAGCTCTCTCCAATTTGAAGGCTTGCTGGGGGCGCAACGTCACTTTTACATGCTGGGCCCTTTCAGAAAAGTGCCAGATCGTGTCACTGGTGCTATTTGTCATGCTCTGGTACAATGTGTAGCACCATGGGGGTCTCAGCTTTACCAAAATCAAAATCCCATTTGTCAGCTACTTGCAGGGGCATTGGCATTTGGCTCTCCTCCCCAGGATTTGTGGACTGTGTTCACACAGCCCTTTCCTCCCAGGACCCTAGTCTTGGCTCAGTCTGTTGTGCGAGCCCATCTTTCCAAATCTGCACTCAGGTGCTCTGTGAACTGTCTGTGAACCTACAGCCAGCCCTTCGGGACCTTCTCTAATTTTTCTTCCTCTGCTCTCTGTCCTCCCCTTTTATTTCTGTCTCATTCTATTTTTCTCTTTTTGAACCTCTCCTAGGATCCTTCTTTCATGGTTTCTCTGAGTCATTGACCCCCAACAGTCCTTTATTCTCTCATTCCTCAATTCTCTTCCCATTCTACCTCCCATTCATCTCAGTCTCTTTTCTCTTCCTCTTTCCCTTCCTTTTTGTTGACCATCTCTCCATATCTCTAAGCATCTCTCCAACCCCCACATGCCCTCGTGCCCTTATGTTGTGGTCCTGTGTGGGCTCCTGGCTGAATCAGACAGCAAGTCCATCTGTTGGACTGATGACACAAATACTTTGAGTCATCATTTCACCTCTGCAGCCCAGAAAGCCCAGCTGAGAGTGAGGGCCCGCTCTGGAGCACTCCAGTGCCCTCACGGAGCCAGCCTGCACCGCTGCCGGGCAGCGAGGATGCATGCTCTGGGCATGCGACACCTGGGTGCGTCTGCCTGAAGCTGGTCCTGAGAGCACCTCTGGCACCATGGCCTGGCTCTAAGGACACTTCCTTTAAATAAAGGCAGACTATGGCCCCAACAGCTACTCTGGCAACAGAACCTCTCCTTTTTCATGGAAGCCATGCCACCGCCTTGGTTTGGAGAGAGACACTTTTCCACCTTCATACCCTTTCTTTTTCCCATTCTTATGTGAAGCCCCCTCTGCTTTTCAGCTGGTGATTGCTCTGGTGAGATGGAATGGACTTGCTGGTGAAATGACATCTTTTTTTTTCCTGTCTTGGTCCTGCCTAAATTCTTTCAAAAAAATCTTTAAGTCAAGGACTCAGGATAGCTCCTAAATTTATCATAGTAATTTGTCATTCCTAGGGAGGAAAAGGGGGATGTTTCCCTTAAAGCATGTGGAGTACCTGCTGTGACAACTGATTTAACAGAGGACTCCCTACAGAATTCTGTGGCTATACATTTCAGTTATGTGTGGTAGAGATAGCTCATCTGTTATGTATGTTCATACTACATTGGGTATGAATGAATGGATGAAAACCCACACATATTCCAGTCTGTAAATATCCTTCCTTGCAGAAATCTGTGCTTCAGAAATCACTTCTTGTACAGCTGTGCAGTTTCTTATTGCAGCTGAGGATGAGCTAAGGCCAGTAGACAAACCAGGCAAAGATCACCGAAAAGGTAGAATAGAGAATCTCCCTAGCAATTCGTGAGAACAGACAACCAAATGGCCAAGTTGACTCCCAACGGGATGGAAAACTTTTCTTCCGTTCTTTTTGAATTTGTGTTTCCCAAGTGTGTCTTAACTTCTGAGCGCACCAGGCTGTACCTGTTAGAACTTTTCAATATGACAATTTTGTGCTTCTCTCTGACAGGATGTTTCTCCATTGAGCTGTAGTGCAGGATGGTAGGGGGACACTCCTTGCAGGGGCTGGAGCTTACAGAGACACTGCACAGCTTACACTCCTGTTAAGTGTAAATATTCGACACTTCCATTCCATTTGTGTACAAAATAAAGCACACAGAATTATAAAATCAAGATGTATATTTCATACTCGGCGTGTCAGTGCATATTTATTGTCTTTCCGTTGTCATCAGTGGCTCTGTTATAAAAATCCTTACTATAAATCTGTCGTGCCTTGATTATAAAATATGAGTTCAAAAATATTACTTTGGGGGTCGAAACAATAGTACAGCAGGTAGGTTGTTTGCCTTGCATATAACTGACCTAGGCTTGATCACTGACATTCTGTACTGTCCCTGAGCCCACCAGGAGTGATCGCTGAGCACAGAGCCAAGAATAAATCCTAAGTATCACTGGATATTGTCCCAAAATAAAAAAGACAAAAAAAATTACTTTGAGCCAGAGAGATAACATAATGGGTAAGACCTTGCACGTGGTTAATCCCAGTTTGATCCCTGATACTCTGAGCACAAGCCAAGCAAGGGTATGTCCTGAGTACATTTAGTACAGCCCAAATACCTCTTGGGGTTCTTACCCAAATACTCTACATACACAGAAAATCATTTTTCTCCAAAGCTTTATTTGCATTACTTTATAAAGAGCATCATTCATTTCTATTTTGATAAAAATCAGACATTTCAGAGTTATCATGCAGTCAGAGCAGATTTTCTCTGAGAAATATTGGCACTGCTGAAAGAAGCTGAAAGTGGTGCTTTTGCATATTTTTAAATATTTGGTCATTATCCTAGCCCACTCTCTGGATTTTGCCAAGAATCAAAATATATTTTTTGAACACTCCCATATATGTGTGGTGGGGAGAAGAGATCAATTCCCCCAGTTTCCAAATTTTGAGATTCCATAAGGCACTAAGAATAGAGGGTATAGCGGTAGGGCGTTCGCCTTATAAGCGGCCAACATGGCCGACCCGAGTTCGATTCCTCTGCCCCTCTCGGAGAGCCCGGCAAGCTACCGAGAGTATTCCATATGCCAAACACAGTAACAACAAAGTCTCCAATGGAGACGTTACTGGGCCCGCTCGAGCAAATCGACGATCAACGGGAGGGCCTTTACCTTTACCTTTACCTATCTGATAATGAGGATGGAAAGAGAGACATTGGTTCTGGAGGAACAGTCATTGTCCATATGCACCACGGTCACAAAAGAGTCTAGCTCAAAAGATGTAAACATATAAAAAATGTCATCTTTGGAAACCTGGACCTTCCATATACTGTTATAAATCATTCCCTCGAGTTAAACACATACCTTCTGATGTCGACACTCAACATAGGCCTGATAGCTAAAACCCAATACAATTGCTCCTGTGGAGAGGTACAACTTTGTCACCCAATAGATAACTCTGGTATGCATCGCAGTGAGCTGTCAGAGAACCGGACTGGCAATTCGAAAAACCATCCCAGTCATATCTGTGAACCTGAATCACCTGATGTCCTGAGCCCACCTGCATAGAGCAGGGGACAAGGATCTTAGAGCTTGGGGCTGGAGCAATAGCACAGCGGGTAGGAGGTTTGCCTTGCTGCGGCAGACCCAGGTTCAATTCCCAGCATCCCATATGGTTCCCTGAGCACCACCAGGATTAATTCCTGTGTGCAGAGCCAGGAGTAACCCCTGTGCATCACCGGGTGTGACCCAAAAAGCAAAAAAGAAAATAAAAAGGATCTCACAGCAGGGTGTGAAGCCATGAACTGCAGCCACAAGTGATGTGAACCTCACATTTATACAATTATCCCATAGTTAATATTTTTACATAGTTTCTACAGGTTTAATATAAATGACAGCAAAGCAAAAGAGCATATCTCCTACAATGAATGTCTTCGGGAGGGGAAAAGCTACAAGCGTTCTTGAGCTTTCCTTATGATCTATTTTACTTATATTTATAATTTTAAAAGTACGACTATTCCAAGGCTGACGAGATAGTATTGGTGGTAAGGTGCTTGCCTTGCTCATGCAGCCAATCCGAGTTCGATCTCCAGCACAGAACCATCAGTAAGCACTGAGCTCTGCTGGGTATGAACAACAAAAAAAAAACTCCCACCAAGCTTACCATTCTAGCAAGATCAACTATAAATAAATTTCACATCTCAGAATCTAAGATCTATCTATGAATCAATGGCTTGATAGTATCTTTGTAGAAATTAAACATGCAGTGACAGAATTTAGAAGATTGAGGGAATATAAAACTAAGGAATATTTGTATATAGATCTCAATTTTTATCATTATAACCAAACCCAGAGACGCTGATATTGTTCAGAAGACAGTATGGATCAGGATTCAAAGACCTGATCACTGGTCTTCATTTATTCTCTGTCACTAACATTTCCTTTAGTGACATCCCAGATGTCATTACGGCTATCTTGAACTGATTCTCTCCCCTTTATGTTAGGGTCTCTGTCCAGACCAGACCCTGTGCCAAATTCCCCTGAACACAGCTAGGACCAAACAAGAAAACATGAGGAATCTGGCTAAACTTGGGGATAAATTAATTTAAGGGGCGAAAAAAGGAGGGGAAATCACTGCTGATCTGATTTACAGGATAGACTTAGTACCAAGTCCAAATGCCATGCAACACATGCAAAACGTGTCCCCAAAATCCAGCGAGGTCTGACATCAGAACCTCCTTTACAGTCCTGACACACCGGAAGAGACAGCTGAGTGCCTTTCCTGCTGCATCCGCTGGAGGTGAAAATTGCCTGCTCCCTTTCTCCCTGACGCCCACACGCTAGAATCTAAGCAATAATGACTCACTGCAGTTCAAGTTGATTCTTGTCTAATTGTCAAATTACTTGGGATGTGGATTTGGATGCAGCTGCTTTCTAACCAGTGACGATGAGGTGGTGGCGACACTGCTGTGAAGTAATCAGGCCACCGTCTAGGATTTGAGCAACCTGTGGTATGTCATAAAATCAACACATTTGCCCACCTAGCAAAAGAGAAATGAGAGTGCCTAGCAGGCCAGAGGTTCAATACTGACTCATGCTGTTGGTTTCATAAATAAAGCCAATTTCATGCTTAGGGTCACAAGCACAGTTGAGAAATATCTTCTGAACTAGCATTCAGCCTGCACCCACGGAGACTGCAGGGCACTGCAGACCACGTGCCCTCCCTGTGCCAGCTCCTGGCTTTCCTAATGTGTCCTAGTTTCAGAGTCACACAGAGAAGCCCACAGTATTTAAAATTTAAATCATCCTTCTCAACCCTGCTGCAGATGACTCAGGACCAGAGAGATTGTATAGGGATTAAGGTGCTTGTCTTGCACATGGTCAGCCCCAGTTTGATCCCTGGCAACACATATGGTCCCCCAAGTCCTACCAGAAGTGATTGCTGAGCACAAAGCCAGGAACAAGACTTGACCACTACTTATTGTGGCCCCAAAACCAAAATATAAAAACCAAAATAATAAAGATTATTGATATAAGGTAAAATTCTAAATTGGAGAAACGAAACCCAGAAAAGAAACTGAGGACTCTTCATAATACTGAACATAGACTATCAGTTTTCAAAGCCGTTGTCCCCATCCCTTTACAAGGGAAATCTCAGCCTTCAATATAGTTTGTCACAGTCTTTGATTTTTGTTATTTAAATATTCCAAGCAAAATCTGATGAAACATGACTTACTACTCCTTTTTCTGCACCAAATAATAACAAATCTGTACATTTTTAAAATATTCTTGTAAATAAGAAAAAAAGAAACTAAAAGGAAAATTTATTTATAACATGCTTCACAAGTAATACTAATGCATCAGAACCTCAGTGGTCTAAACTATTCCAAGCCAACAAAGAAAGTCCTGAGAGATGCCTTCTCTCCAACCTTCTGGCCTGTCTCCAGCTTTTGGTTCCTCAGTTTGTCTGGACAATTATCTTAGGTAATACTTTCTCTCCCATTCCTCAGAAGTAGGGATAAGACTGCTCAGAAGAAATTCAAGTCCAAACAGAACAGGTTTCATTTCAGCAAAGTACAATGGTTTCCACATCCATCTTCCATATTAAGAGAATAAAGGATAAAAAGTTCTTATTTTCAGAAGGACATTAAGGATTTCAAATTCTTTGTAGCTTTACATGACAAAGGGCAATGAACAGTTAGTTGCTTAGAAATGAAATCCTGGTTCCTCCTAAGAGCAGTTGATTTCTAGACAACACAAATACAAAAACAACAAATGAAAATTAGGTTGAATCCTAATTGTCTTGCTGAGTCACCATGAACTCTTTTTGTCTCTTTGACATTTTGGTAACCTTTCCAGAGAAATGAAGAAAGTCACCTCCTCTCCCTCTCCCCCAATGTCCTTTTTTTTTCCTTTTTGGGTCACACCCCGCGATTCTCAGGGGTTACTCCTAGTTCTGCACTCAGGAATTAACTCCTGGAGGTGCTTGGGGGATCATTTGGGATGCCGGGAATCAAACCTTGGTTGGCCACGTGCCAGACAAATGCCCTACCTACTCTTCTATTGCTCCCGCCTCATTTAAACCCAGTTTCTTTCTCCTTTGACTTGGCAGATCACGAAAATGTCTGAAACTCTTAGGCTCATCTATAACCTGGGGACTAAGTTCAAGGTTTCAAGACTGCCCCAGGGATTTCCTGATCTTTTCTCTCTAGAGATTTCCTATTAGCTTCCCTCAGCACTTGTGGGAGCACCAGAGTTCAAACTCACCATTTTGTGCTTGCTAAGGAAGAACTTAAACCATTGAGACCATCCTCCCTCCAATCACCAAGTTTCTTAAAATATTATTCATCCCAATTGTTTATAGGTACAAAGTTTCTCTGAAACTCAAAATAAAAGAAATGAATGTAAGGGGAAGGAGAGATTCAAATATTTTCATTGCCTTGTTAGTGTGCCCACAGGGGAATAGCATGGGACAAACATCTTGTTTGATATTCTGGGAAAGTTGTTCAAGAGAGAAGGGGGAAAGTTGTGACATTGTCTAAGCATAGAGGTGTGGGGACTCAGAAATTGGTTGCAAAGTTCTGTGGACAGAATGTGACTCTTCATGAGATCCATGTTTCGTTAGTGTCTTACATATCCAGAACAAGGTGGGATTTTTCTTGTAATAAAAATGGGTGGAAAATTCATTGA